TTCAATTTTGATGCCATGAGCATCAGATCTTCTTTGAAACCCTTGGCTGTTCAGAGTCTTAGTCACTCAGAGATTGATGTGTTACAACATGGGAACAGCATATAGGTAGAAAGTATTAAATTGTATTGTAAAAAAATCACAGTCACTTTTTAAGCAGTAAATTCTAGTACCATTTTAAAATGGCTCTTTATGTTTATTGCTCAGCTGTAAAATTTGACTTTCTACTCTCCAGTAAGACATCTGAACATCTGTACACATCGTGTCTGTACCTCTTCTTTGCAATTTATTATATTATTTCATTTGTTAAAGCTCATCTTCCTGAGTATAAAATATATCCTCATCTTCCTAGTTCCTAGTACATGGCAGGGATCCCAATAAATGTTTAGTGAATGACCAATAATTGAACAAGTTATACAAAGCTTTCTCATTAATTCATTACTACCATGCAGATACTTTTATACAATCCCCCTCTCCAGTTTTGATTATGCACTAAAATCTTTATGGTATTTGAACTACATGTGATGATTAGCATTGTTAGAACACTTGAATCACTTCCTTCCCCTTTATTTTTTTGTCCTCACTAGTAGAATTAAAGGATAGAAGCAAAACGAGCCATTATGGCATAGGAGCAGGCTGTGAGCTTCTGATGAGTAATTTTTGTGGCAGGTATGCCCTGGATGGGGTCACTGTGACAAGGCTGGGGCCCTGGGGACGCAAGCATGGCAACATGGAGAAGGGGCTCACCTGTACTCACTCTCTTGTAGGTCCCAGGTGACTGTGGAGGAGGTCATGACACCCACCCCATACCTGGACCTCTTCCTGCGCAGCATCTCAGAGCCCGCACTGCTGGAGCTCTTCTTGCGCTTCATCCTGCTGCACCAGCATGAGAACGTGCACATCCTGGACACTCACCAGCCGGATCAACACCCCGTTCCGGGTAAGGCAAGCTCCAGAGGAAGTGCCTTGCAACTCAGCATCCATGGGTTTGTTTGGGAAACTGGATCATCTCTACTCGTCTTACTTTTCTTGTTTTTTCTCCTTTCTTTTTTATTTCCACAGCCATTAACTTCTTTCTGTTCGGGTAGAGATGAAGTATGTCATTTTCATTTTTTGGAGTCCTGCCAGGGAGGTGGCAGGCACTGCCACCTTTGATAGGAAGGACATTTTTCCTCCCCTGGCTTATGTTGGCCCTCTCTTCTGTGCAACAAGCAGAACTCATTTCCAGAAGGGCAGAACTGTGTTAGGTGCAGGTAGAGAAAGAAAAGCAGTATATCAGGTTCAGTTGTTGGAAGTTATATTTATGTCCATGTGTTCTGAAGTGAAAGGCTGGGAAATTATGAGTTGATGTGCTGGTCACTTAGTTGGGAGTTCTGTTTTGAAAAATCCTCTTAACACCACTAGTGCCACTTTCATACCCACACTCCCTACCAAAAGCAATCCCTATTGTAATAAAAAGTATTCTTTTAAAGGCAAGAATAACAACATACCTTTGGATTTATTGTATATATACTGTAATATATTTAACCTAATAAGAGCATAAAGAGGGAGAACAGGAGAATAGTAGAAACAGTTCGATGTTTCACTGGAAAAAATTTAGCATAAACCTAAAGTAGAATCTGATAAGTTAAATATTGGGAGCAACTGCTAAAGAAATTACTGAGGAAATATAATCAGGAGCTAGATGCATGGTGGTATGCGCCTATAGTCGTAGCACTTGGGAGACTGAAACAGTAGACTCAAAAGAATAGCAAGAATGGTACAGCACGACCCAGTCTCAACTGGACATGTAGCTTAGTGATAGGGTGCTTGCCTAGCATGCATGAAGCCCTGCGTTCAATTCCTCAATACCACATAAAAACAAAAAGCCAGAGGTGACACTATGGCTCAGTGGTAGAGTGCTAGCCTTGAGCAAAAGAAGCTCAGGGACAATCCCCAGGACTGACCAAAGAAAAACAAACAAAAAAAACCCAGTCTCGAAAGAAAAAGAGGCATGATAGGAGTGATAGTTAACTTGATACTCTGTCTAACCAGAGCAGTGATGTCCATTCTTCTCAAGTGTCTATGCAGCGTTCTCCAAGAGAGACAGGGGATACAACAGACTTAATGAACTTGAAAGGATCAAGATCACACAATGTATGTTCTCTGGTTACAGTGGATTTAAGGGTTGAAATGAAAAGCTATTGATAGGAATTTGGAAAATCCACAAATAGAAATTAAATAACACGTTCCTAAGTAATTAGTAGGTCAAACAAGAAATCATCAGGAAAATGTGAATCTACTTTGATATACTACAACACTAATGAACCTTTGAGGATATTGTACGAGGTAAAGAAAGCCAGTTCTGCCGGGCGCTGGTGGCTCACGCCTGTAATCCTAGCTACTCAGGAGGCTTGAGATCTGAGGATCGCGGTTCAAAGCCAGCCCAGGCAGGAAAGACCGTGAGACTCCTATCTCCAATAAACCACCAGAAAACCGGAAGTGGCGCTGTAGCTCAAGTGGTAGAACGCTTGCCTTGAGCTGAAGAGCTGAGGGACAGCGCCCAGGCCCAGAGTTCAAGCCCCACGACCGACAAAAAAAAAAAAAAAAAAGAAAGCCAGTTCTAGCATGAGCTGCTAGAACCCACTCATCAGAGTAGTTCATCTAAAGTAGTTAAGCTTGTAGAAGTAGAGTGGAATGGTTGTTTCCAGGGGCTGGCTGGTGAAGATAATGAGGAGTGGGTATTCAGTTAGTTTTGCTATAACTGTGTTACAGATCTGTTGCATGACAATGTGAATATATTTAGCCCTATTAAATGTGCTCTTAAAACTCATTGAGAAATTAAATTTCATAATATGTTTATCACAATTTTTAAAACAGAATAATTATAATTACTGCTTCACAGAATCTTCCAAAGACAGAATAGGAAGGAACACACTCTAGTTCAGTTTATGAGCTCAGGGTGAGTCTAAAACCAGACAAAGATATTAGATGGAAGGAAAATATCACTGTGGACTAATATTTCTTATGAATAAAGGCACATAAATTCTCACTAGTGAATAGAATTTAGAATATATGAAAACAATTATACTCTGATCAGATGAGAGTTAGCAATCTAGAATTACAAAGTTGGCTTAAAGTCTAAAAAATCAGCTAATATACTATATCATAGCAATAGGATAAAAGAAAAAATTATCTTTATCTGAGAAGGTATAGAAAATGATAAACATATCAACAAACAAAGAATAGAGGGAACTTCTTCAACTCAATATCTAACATCTCTGACAAACTCAGAGCTAATGTTCAAAACAATTCCCCTAAAAAATGAGTAAGGTAAGAATGTCTGTACTCAACAGTTATATTCAATATGGTACTTGAAGTTCTAGTCAGGAAAATTAAGTAAGAAAATAAAATCATTCAGATAAGAAGAAAAACAATCTGCATTTGTGTATGACGAGATCTGTAATACAAAAAACTAAGGCGGAGTACATTAAAAACTATTGGAACTCACAATGAGTTCAATAAGGTTGCAACATGTAAGATTAATGTAAAATATCAATGAAATTTCTGTACAATAGCAGTAAGTAATCCAAAAATTAAGTTAAGGAGATGATACTATTTCTAATAGCATTAGAAGAATAAAATATTTAGGAAGAAATGAAGTCCCAATATTGTTAATATAAGAACACTCTCCAAATTGATCTGGAGTTTTAAAGCATTCCCTGTCTTTTCTGTCCTCTCTGCTGAAATTCATAAGCTGATTCCAAAATTCATATGGAAAAGTCAGTCTTAAGTCATACCGCATACATATTTACTCCAGATGGGCCAAAGACCTGAATGTATTGGCAAAAAGTATAAAACTCTTCAAATAACAACAACAACAACATAGGACTCAATCTTGTGGCCTTATGATAGTTTTCTAAGATACAACACCAAAATCATGATCAGCAAAAGAAAAAGCAGGTGCATTGGACATCAATCAGAAAAATGATACACTTTTGTTTTTCCATGAACGACATCAACAAATTGAAAAGGTTACCCACAAAAGGATAGGAGAATTTCTTTTGAATCATGTATCTGATAAGGTACTTTTTACACAGAACAAAGAACTCAGTTATAAAAAGATATAATTGAGCCCCTTCCCCACTTGGCAATGATTTGTAGGATTCCTGGCAATAGGTAAGAAGGATACCTAACTGAGATTGGACAGAGGAGGTTTTGAATGGTAATATAGTGAGGAAGGATAGAAATATTTCCAAGAGATGTTGATACCTAACCTAAGTCCTTGAGAATAAGTAAGAGGTGCATTTTGAAGAGATGGGGAAGGAATTCCAGGTAAAGAAACAGCACATACAATGACTTGGAATTGGTGGATATTCTGCTTCTGACTAACTACAGGTATACGACTTTCCTTGAACAAAAGAGATGTGTCAGGGTAGGTCAAGTACAGCTATTTCTTTACCACACCATTATGGATTTCATTGACCGGATTTGAAGCCCATCCTGTTCCAAGACAAACTAGTACTTACTCTCCTGTACGAAGAATGAGAGCCTAAATTACTTAAATGGACTGGAAGATTGATGAACGCTTACTCTCAAAAGAGTACAATGGTTTTATAACATACCTTTGGGTATCACCACTATTTGGAAGTTTGTTTTTTTCCTTATGAAAATCAGAAATTGAAAGAATTTGTGGTTTTTTAAAAACAAACTTCTTTGAGAAGTACATTATCACACTGTAAGTGGTTTAGGAAATGGAACCAAGGAGAATATTTGTCCCCAAAGCCAAGAGAAAAGCTGAGAACTCTAAAAGACAGTTGGGCTAGGTTGCATTCTGTGAGATCTGGCCTATGAATAACCAAGGCCATATTTAAAAGATAAGAGAATAAATTACCAGAGGAGGAGGAGGAAGAGAAGGGGGAAGGGGATGGGGAGGGGAAGGGGGAGGAGGTGGTGGTACAGGGAGCATGTTTCCTGGATCCTTAATGGCTGACACTGAGACTGGCATGTTTATAGGATAATTCTGCTCAGTGACATGCCCAGACACTGCCTTACCCCCTCCTACAGGAGAGCCCATATCCTCAGTACACATTCTCTCCGTCAGCAGTGTGTGTTTCATAAAACTGCTAGAGGAAAGAAAGCCATTTTATTTTGGAATTCTGACTTACTTGACAGTGGTGGGGATGAGGTTGTTGTTCCAGTATCTGAAATAGAATAATGTGTTCATGACTCCTCAGCTCTGTGTGGTGTCCCTGGCATTATTCAGAACTCTCATTGGTTTACATTGTGAAGACGTGATGCTCCAGCTAGTCTTAAGGTGAGTGACCTTTCCTTCTTTCTTTTTCTTTAAAGAACATTTTATTCTGGAGTGCCACTTTTATTTTACTTGAGTGATACCAACTAAGTAGGCACCATGTTTCTACGAACATTAAGAGTAGCAGTTTGATTTGTGGGGGGGGGGGGGGGGGACGGGGAAGGGGTTGGGTCCGGTCGTGGGGCCTGAACTCTGGGCCTGGGCACTGTCCCTCAGCTCTTCAGCTCAACGCTAGCGCTCTACCACTTGAGCCACAGCACCACTTCCGGCTTTTTACTTTTTGCTTATGTGGTGCTGAGGACTCGAACCCAGGGCCTTAGGCATGCAAGGCAAGTGCTCTACCACTGAGCCACCTTCCCAGCTCCTGAATTTTGTGTTTTATCCCAGGGTTAAATTTAGTTTTATTATGAAAAGGTTTTTGGATAGTTATGCACATTATTTCATAAAAATGTTGCTGGAAATAATAGAGTATTGAAACATTTGGGAGGTATTATGAAATCTCATTCATACTGTGGCTAGCCTTCTTCATCCTGAAGGGGATTTATTAGGGCTTTTTTTCCCCCAAATTTGAATTCAATGTCTTTGATTTTTCCCCCCTTTGGCAATGGCACGTGTCCAGTGTGCACTCTCTTGTCTGTTTCAATTCAACCCACTAAATACATAAGGCACGCTCTCAGGGTACTGTTTAGAAGGAAGTAAGGAGAGGCATAGATGACCTGAAAAGGACTCGAATGCAAGGTGGCAAAGCAGTTTCTCTCAGACGTACATGTGGGAAAGGTGACTTGAAGGGGCTGGGCTTGAAGGGGGGTATTGAAGATCAAGGTGGAGTGCTATTGGGATGATTTGGTAATTTAGATAAAAGATTCCTGGTACCAAATCCTGCCTTGGCCCAACTGTGCTGCTTCTTCCCATTCTAAAGGAAGTGTCTATGATTGTGAGAGAAAGTGATGATCTCAGTGTTAGCTCAGGATTTGGCCCTGTCAGTTAGAGTTCTAGAAAGCACCAGGACTGACTGTCGTGCACTCTTCTTCCTTTCCACTGACTCTTGGAATCAACTTCAGTGAGCCTCCCGCCCACTCCCAACATTGCTGAAAATGCAGCCAGGCTGAAGCTTGGTCCCATGCTGAGAGGGACCTGGGACCCTTGCAATTTCTATACCATGCCATGAGTGAGAATGGCCTCCCCTAGAACCAGCAGAAATACTTAGCTCCCAGGAGAAAGACTGTCTGCCAGTTCCGTTACTGGGGCCACACCAAAATCTAACTATGTGTATTTCCTGCCTTTTTTTCCGTTTTTCTTTTCTTTCTTTCATTTTGCTTTGTTTTATTTTGTGGGCTTGAACTCAGGGTCTGGGCTCTCCAGTACTTTACCACTTTGAGCTACAGCACCACGTCTGATTTTCTGGGGGTTAATTGAAGGTAAGAGTTTCACAGACTTCCCTGCCTGGACTGGCTGTGAACCATGATCCTCTGATCTCAGCCTCCTGAGTTGCTAGGTTTACAGGCGTGAGCCACCAGCACCGGCCTATTTCATGATTTTGTTTCCTCCGTCTATGAATTGTGACACTGTTATGAGCAAAGCAGCAATCAGATTGAGACTTTCTCTCTCCTCAGATTTGACCAGAATTGTAAAGCAGTTTATGTGTGCATGCATGCATACATACATATATTGTGTGTGCATGTGTGTTTCTCTCATTACTCTCTGTCATCACTGGCTGAGATAAAGAAATCATCACCTGTGAATTGTCTGTCCTGAGGAGGTGCTATTGTCCATAGGGGTAGTTGTGGTCCCTTGTCCTAAAGATACTGATTAATCCTGTCCTTCACGGATTCCAGGGTGATTGTAGAGTGACTGTAGAGAGAATTGTGGACACATACAAAATAGAAAGGAGATGCCAAGTTTTTCTCCTGCTATCTTTAATTCATAGGCCCAGCAAAACAGCTTTTAAGTACCTCTAATACTGACATGCCTTCCTTAGTGAGGATAAAGGCAGATGAAGCAGAAAGCAAAGGAAGAGAGGATTTGGCTTCACTTAGTCCACTGTGGGGTTTTGACATGTAGGTATAGATTACCTAGGTAAAGACATTCCAGGTAGGTTTGGTAGCATAGGAAGCTCTAGAAAACTAAAGGGGTATCAAAGTCCTTGTGGGAAGAGCAGCAGTAGCAGCAATGCCTAGGAGCTGGTCAGAAATGCAAATTCTCAGCTTCCTACCAGAAATTCTGAAGATGGGCCCAAGTGAGGCATGTTTTAACAAATATTCTAAAGGATTCTGATAGATGCAGTGCCAAAAAATTGCATCCCACAAAAGGGAGCAATTAAGAAGTGACAATTAAAAGGGAGCAATTGAGATGGGGCTGGGAAGGTGGCTCAGTGGTAGAATGCTTGTCTTGCATGCATGAGGCCCTGGGTTTGATTCCCCAGCACCACATAAGCAGAAAAAGCCGGAAGTGGCACTGTGGCTCAAGTGGTAGAGCACTAGCCTTAAGCTGAAGAGCTGAGGGACAGCCATTGGTTTTTTAATATAAGCAAATGCATATAGATATGGGTTTTGTATATACAAAGTGATTAAAAATGTGAATAGAGGCAAACAAGAAAGAAACAAGTAGACTCAGTCTCCTTTGTGCACTTATCCTCTATCTCTTTGAATCCCTATCCTAAACTTATTATTCTTTTTTCTAAATGAAGGGACCAAAATCCAAAGAGTTTAAAAATCTAAAGAATTGGGGGCTGGGCATGTGGCTTAGTGGTAGAGTGCTTGACTAGCATGCATGAAGCCCTGGGTTTGATTCCTCAGCACCACATAAAGAGAAAAGGCTGCAAGTGGTGCTGTGGCTCAAATGGTAGAGCGCCTGCCTTGAGCACAGAGAGGCTAAAGAACACTGCCTAGGCCCTAGTTCAAGCTCCAGGACCTGAAAAAAAACCCAAAATCTGAATAATTTTGGAAAAGTGTATACCCCCATTCTATGGCAATTTCTCTAAAGAAAGACTGGGTGAATAATTAAACTAAGTATCCAGGTAATTGAAACAAAATCACCTAGCTATGAGGAAAGGGATTGGGAGTGAAAACAGTGCTGATTTATTTATTACACATTTCCTTTTTTTCCTGAATTATTCCAGATGACTACATCGATTGATTGGATTTGTATGCATCGAGTGCCCTTGAGAAATTTTATAGGTAGGGCCTCAACAGAACCAACAAATGGGATCCTCCTGAGCAGGAAGGCAGGGGCAGACCAAAAGATGATATTGCTGCATTATTTGGCCTTTATGGAATGAGCCATGAGGAGCCTCAGGAAAATCGATTATTGATGTGGTATAATAAGGTGAGCTTTCTTTTCCTCTGGTCAACTCATGGTTTATTTTGTATAAACTGCTATGAAACATTGCCACTAAAGGTTGCTTTTCAGCACAAAGGAGCTGTATAGGATTTCACATGGGGTCTTTTCGCTGTTTGGCAAGAGCCCCTCGTGTTTTCTCAGTGAGGGTGCTGTCACGTCATCACTTGATTTCTCATCAACATGGAAGCAGTGGATTCAGGGCTATTTTCTTTTCCCCTCCACTCCTCTCTTGCCCCATACTTTTAGTTCTCTTCACGTTTCAAGTGATTCCTGCTTAGTTTCTGCTTCTATATTTCAGTTATTCCATCTCTTTCTTCACTGTTTATCTTTGCTTGCTTGTTAAAAAATACTCTTTAATTGTACTACAGTTGAGAAAAGATATCTATTTAAGATAAAGTAGTAGTTTTCTTTAAAGGGCTGACTGTACTTTGAAGATATATATAAAATCCACAGCCCTGTTCTCTTATTGTTCACACACCTGCAAAGTTCATGGCAAGTTGGTATGAAACATCAGGACAAACTCAAAAGTCCAAATGAAGAAATTTTTTAATGTAGAGTACCAATTAAATAAGAATAATTGATCAGTTTGGGATGAAAAATTATCAATACAGATGAATAATTTTAGTAACGATCTTCTGCAGATACATTACATAATGTTTGATTTGTATTCTGTTTTGCATTTGGTTAACACTGATCTTTTTAACTGGTATAACTTAAATGGGCAAGAAGGTTTCCTTGTGATATTTCTACATATGTATAAATTGCACTTGGGCCGAATTTGTACCCCTTTTCCTGAACTCCCTTTCCTCCTCCCCCTCCACCTTTTTTCTGAAGTTTCTAGTGGGCTTTATCATATTAATTTTATATATGCCACACTTCAATCACATTCTTCTCCATCATCTTTCCCTCCCCTTCCAACTAGTTCCACCCCTAAAGTCTCCCTCTTTGACAATTGTATAGTATTATTATTACTAACCATAATAGCAATCATATTTAGACCAAGATAGGGGAAAGATGGCATTTGTCTTTCTGAACTTATCTCATTCAGGATAGCCATCACCAGTTTCTCCCATTCTTTCCTGTAAATGACATAATTTCATTCCTCTTTATAGCTGGGTAACACTTCATTATGATTATTATAGGGCTTGATTTCTCCCCTCAGGAGTTGGGCACAATGATTGATTTCATGGCTTAGCTCTCTCGAATAGAGTGGAAGTAACTTAGGTGTATCTCTATTGTGTCAATTTAAACTCCTTTGGTTATATGCCCAGGAGTTGAAGACAGGGATTCCATTATAGTTCTGTCTTTAGTTGTTGTTTTTTTAAGAAACCTCCATACTTACTTCCATAGTGCCTGCACTAATTTACATCCCCCACCAGCAGTATATCAGGGCTTCTTTTTGTTTTTTGCCTGAATTCTCACCAGGACTTGTTTTATAATGATTCCCATTCTGGAGGGGAAAGATGGCATCTCATAGTGGCTGTGACTTGCATTTCCTTTATGGCTATGGATGCATTTAGTTGCCATTTGTCCACATTTTTAGAACTGTCTAAATTAAAGTCATTGGTCCACTGACAGGTTTATTCGGCTTTTGTGGCTTACGGGTTTTAGCTCTTTATATATTCTGGATATATAAATCACTTGCAAAGGTTTTCTTTTATTTTCTCAATTGTCTTTTCATTCAAATGACTTCTTTTTGGCTGGGTGCCAGTGGCTCACGCCTGTCATCCTAGCTACTCAGGAGACTGAGATCTGAGGATTGCAGTTCAAAACAAGGCAGGAAAGTCCATGAGACTCTTTATTTCCAATTAACCACCAGAAAACTGGCAGTGGCGCTGTGGCTCAAGAGGTAGAACACTTGCCTTGAGCTGAAGAGCTGAGGGACAGCGCCCAGGCCCAGAGTTCAGGCACCATGAACAACAAAAGACTTGTTTTTTCCCTTCAGGGCATGCAAGTTTCCTTAATTTGATGCAATCTCATTTGTCAATTCTTACTCTTCTTTCCTGAAATATTGGAGATTCCTGTTCAGAAAGATCTATGTCTTTGAGTGTTATGCCTATGTTTTCCTCTAGTAGTTTTGAAGTTGGGTTCTTATATTAGGATTGTTGACTCATGTTGTGTTGGGTTTGTAGAGGGTAAGGGATAGGGGGGCATCTGTGTGCCACTCCGGGGCCAGAATGCACTTTACTGAGTACACCCCCTCTTGTGGCAGATGCCACTCCTGGGCTAGGGTGCATTCTTGAGTTCACCCCCTCTTGCAGAGGCTACTGAATCTATTCCTTGCCTTAGGCAATGACTCAGAATGCCAGCTAACTTCTGCTCAAATTTGGCAGTGTTTGCTACTGGATGCTGTGTTCGCAACAGGTGAGGAGTCTTAACTCTCTTCCACATCCAGGGATGAGTGAGAACACTGGTAGATAACATGGGAGGGTCCAGGGGATTCACCGCTGTGATCAGGTATTCCCAAACAACTGTCAAATTTCATAGTTGCTCACAAGTCAAATCCCTTTGCAGCTTCACACCTGTGTGTTCATACATACACACACTTGACATGAAAAGTGTACACTTGCTGGGTGCTGGTGGCTCACATCTGTAATCCTACCTACACAAGAGGCTGAGATCTGTAGATCACAGTTTGAAGCCAGTCTAGGCAGGTAAGTCCATGAGACTCTTATCTACAGTTTATCACCAAAAAGGCAGAAGGGGAGCTGTGGTTCAGTGGTAGAGTGCTTGCCTTGCATGCATGAGGCCCTGGGTTCAATTCCTCAGCACCACATAAGTAGAAAAAGCCAGAAGTGGGGCTGTGACTTAAGTGGTAGACAGCTAGCCTTCAACTGAAGAGCTCATGGACAGCGTCCAAGCACAGAATTCAAGTCCCAGGACCCACAACAAAAGTAAAATAAAAAATTCACAGAGTTCCTTTCACATCATTGCTTGGAAAGAAAATGTTGAAATTAAGTACATAATGAGCCTGGTGCTGGTGGCTTATGCCTGTAATCTTAGCTACTCAAGAGGCTGAGAGCTGAGAAACCCGGTTCAAAGCTACCTGGGCAGGAAAGTCCTTGAGACTGTTATGTCCAATTAATGACTAGAAAAACCAGAAGTGGTGCTGTGTCTCAATGTTGTAAAGTGCTATTCTTGAGTGAAAGAGTTTAGGGACAGTGCTCAGGGCCTGAGTTCAAGCCCGCTACTGACAGAAAAAGAAAAAGCAAAAACAAAAGACCATAATGAACAATCCAGCTTTCTGTTTAGAAGGTGTGCACAGTGCTGCGTGGAGGTGATCCTGGATGTGGCATGGGAGGTTCTCTGTTCTGATTGCAGCAAAGCCACAAACATAATGAGAATCTGGCAAGTTTTTTTTTTTTCTAGACAGAACCAGCAATTCCCAGAGTAGACTAAAGACCTGTATACTATTTTTCTTTATCCAGTTAATGCACTGTGATTTAGAATCCAGACAATTGGATGATGAATACCTGTATTTCTTCAAAGATATCTCTGTAGTCTCCTCGTTATTTCTCCCAATTCCTTTCTAGTTTTAAATCAGATTTCATAAATAATATGTATCACATGTTTCACAAATATTTGGTATATTATTTTATTATATTATTCCTTTGTTTTCTAGATGAACCTTGCAATTTATGGTGGTGTCATATCAATTTAGTATTTGTGGAGAAGAATCTGTAGGAAAGAAATAGATGTAAAGACTTACTAGCTGCCAAGACATACTCATAATGCGTAACATAATCAAGGGTGTCTAACCTGACCATACTCCTCCTCATAACACTGGAAGTCTAAATTATTATCACCATTCTACATATGGATACACAGAGACTCAGAATCCAGGTTAGGCAGCTTATGTAATCCCTGGAGTATGTAGACAGAGTTATTGCAGAATAATATCTAAATCTTCTGCCATGGAGGAGGGTGGAATTTAATGATGCTTCTCTGTAGTGCCAGGACATAGCACAATTAGGGGGTCCGGTTTTTGTTTGAAGTTAATCTCCCACCTCTGCCTTGTCACCACAGCCGGCAGAACTCTGATACCTAGAACACATCTGCCAGGATCATTACAAACAGCAGAAATTGGGGTGGCAGTGAGCAGGCTGCAGCGTTACAAGCCATTCTGGATACTAACAAGCAACCAGAAAGGACTGTGGAAAGCATAATAGGATGGGAAAGAGCTTTTCCTCCCTGGTGTGAGGGATATGACCAGGAAGAGAAGAAAGGAAGGGAATTAGACCGCTTGCAAGCTACTCAGGGAGGCACCAGCCACACTGTGAGTAGAGTCTGGACATTAAGAGCAATGACCTCTTACCTGGCCCTTAGAGCTGACTGGAGGTGAGCTATAGTGATTGCATCAGCTTATACATGCTTCTAGCCATCAAGTACTGCTCTCTGTATTGAATTTATACATGCTTCTAGCCATCAAGTATGGCTCTCTGTATCAAAATAGCACATGATCGTTTTCATCAAGCTCTGAATTAAAGTAACCCATGCAGATCTTGTCTTATTCTTCTCCTAAGTCTTCAAATCATAAATGAATGGCCCTGTTAGGTGGCCACATCTACGGGTCTCTTGTTTGTTTACCATGTTGATGGGGTGACATAAACTACAGTTTGTGTCTGCAGCAAGACTGGAAGGAAGTTCTTCCAATAGGAAGAAAGGGAGAGGAGGGGAGCTTGTGGATGCTGTGTAAAAGGAAGGAAAATGAAGCTAATGTCCAGTGACTCTGCTGCAGGAAGTAGCTTTAAAGCACAGAAATGCCCAATGGAAGTTTTTTATTTTTTATGTTCTCTTCTGTGGACTGTCTGGTGTAAACATCTTAATCTGCCTCCCAGCGCTCCTCAATTGAGTCTGCGTCAGTCCCCAGTGCTTCTCCATTAATGGGTTCCTTGTGGGGACTCAGTCATGTGCTAAGCCTGACATCTGGCTTGGCTCTGGGCTAGGGCAGAGGTAGAAGTATAAGGAGGTCACGGGGATGACCT